TAAGAGCAACCCACATACCCAAATTAACGTCACGACAGTTAACGGATTAAGAGCAACCCACATACCCAAATTAAGGCACATCCATGACAAAAGCCCCTTGATGAAACTTGTATGTAGATTTTTCAAGCATCTTATAATCCATTAATGAGGTATTATTTTCCATAGAAACTGTCATTGTAGGCTTGAATTTACCAAAAAATGGTGTAGTCCAGCCCCTTTTACAACATCTTCAAATCCAAAACCAAGGAAAAAGAGGAAACATAGGGAAAAAAGCATTAGTTCTAAACCCTAACTCTCAAAGTCCCAAAACTATGAAGAAAAACTGAAATAGTGTGGGGTGAAAAGAATATACATGAGCTCTTCCCATCATTTCTGGTGGATTTGCGTGAATTCTTACTGTAATAAACCCATAAACAAAACAATGACGAGATAATTACAGCCAAGGAAGAGCAAACAAGAATGAGAGTTATTGTCATTTTCTTGGACGGATCTTTCTTTTTGTGCTCCTTGCTTCCCAGTTGAAATCTTTCTATCTCATTAAACCTTTATAGAGTCAAAATCATAACTTTTCTCAGGTAATACAAATGTTACGTGGACTAAATAACTTTAACAAAGCCGTTCATGTCATCGCCGCCACGACCATCCATGCCATGTCATCGTGCCGTTAACGGATTAACGGCGGAGTGGCAAAATTGAAGTGAAACATAAACGTCCGTGCTAAAATTGGCAAAATTGAAATGTCAGTGACATTTTTGATCCTGAGCATAAAGATGAGGGGTATTTGACATAGATTACCCTAAAATAAAACAAGACCACATCATTCAAAATCCAAGTTATTTAAAACACAACATACACTTTAAGAAGCCCCTGTTTTCATTTCATTAATCATTTGCAGGGTTCATTATGCAAACAAATTTTACATCAAAAGTTCAGAATATATTATGTACCATAAATTATGAACTCATAGCTAGGGGTGGCGACGGGATGGGGACGATTTTGAATTATCTATTCCGTCCTTAACATTTGCGGGTACGGTTTTGGAGAATCCCTATTATATGTTTCGGGGAATTTTTTGTTTTCATATTCATCTTTTACGGATTCCTACGGGTTTCGGTTAATCCTCATTCCAAAAAAAAACATTTTAAAATCAATGCAACACCTAAAACTTGTAAGATATATCAGTTTGTCTCAGATTAGTTTCTATCTATAATATGAAAGTTTCAAATGTTAATATTTATCTAACACCCAATGAATATGTACAATCTTAACATTTTCAATCTCAACAAATCAATGTATATTAAATGAGAAAATATTTAAACTTCGATTTTAGTTCTTTTGAGATGTAATAGTGACAACGCGTAATCTCACATATATTTTTCGAGGATCCCACAATTATTTTTGTAAAATATCAGGGATCTCTACGATTATTTTTCGGGTACAGTTCGGTTATTCACACGGGTACAGTTCGGTTATCCCCACATTTCGGATATAGCAATTCTTGTTCATCCGCATTTGTGTTTCGGGGATAAAACTTTTCCATCCCGTGGGTGAAGATTTCAGTTATTCTTCATCCCGTCGGTTCGGATAACTACGATTTTCGATTTTTTCCCCACCCGATTGCCACCCTACTCATAGCTTTTATAATTTTCAACCTATTAAAAACCATCTTTGAATTAATTGACATCGATAAGAGGCGAAACAACTCAATTTTGGATATAAAACCATCATAAATTGAAGACTGAATGGATACAAGAATACCCCATCATAAAAGGCAGGAATCACAATCAAATCCAATCCAAATCAAATAACCTCGACGGTATACATACCATTTCAACACCGATGTGCATATATAAGTATATCTAAATTTCACACGATTATAACCAACAAAACAGAAACAATCAACTTCTTGTCTACAAAGGAACTGGAAGTTATTTTGAAAGTATCCCAGTCCCAGATTTAGAATCCATTCCTGGACCCTATCAAACACTTGCCAAGTTGTCAGGTTTGGTGGGAGGAGGAGGAGGAGCTGCACCTGGCGGAGGAACTGTTGCGCCATAAATCTGGGGTTGTTGCCTTGTCTGACTTTAGTTCTTCTATAGAAGTAAAATCCCAGACCAAGTAATATGCATAAGAGCAGCAGTGGCATAGAGATGACTACAACCAAACCCATCTTTGCTTGCAACCTTCTCCCAGTGATTTCCTTGGTATAAATGAGATGGAATATATTTATAAGGAGGTTTTTTTGTGCTCTTAAAATGAACGGAGGGTTCAGATTCCGTCAAGGACAGAGTGGAAGAGGGGAATTTTAACTTGTTTGCTAACTGTATGCTGCTTAAAGTTGAAGCCTCCATGGCTGGCTAACCTTTTTTCAACCCAATGCAGGTTTTTGGGAATTTCCAGGGGAGAAAGGTGTAGTGATGGTGAGACAAGTGCTCGTTGTTGGCCAAGTCACCACATTCTGATTCTCCTTGGATGTTACTTTTAGAGTAGTTTAACATAATAAATAATAATTATAATTATGCCACCTCCCTCCATTTGCAAAGGTTCTTCTCTAATAATGCTCCATTTAGTATTAAAACTAAACTTTTTTTTTCCTCTTCTTTTTTGAGGGCAATGTGAGATGCAATCTCTGGTGAACATCCTTGATGAACGCACCCCTGTAGTTCTATGGGACAGTCTAGGACTGTCAAGAGCAGGTGTATAAATATGAGGCCAAAGTTATGAATTTAACTTTGTCACTGAACATGAGTAGTTAACTTATACATAAACTGCAATCATGCATGCTACAGTCTTTTACATTGTAGCTAAATATATTTGCTTTACGATTTCAAATAGATGTTATAGATATTTTTGCAACAGATGATGATATTATCTTGAAATGTTAATAAAATTATGGTTAGGAGGAAGCTTCTTTTGATGTATACACATACGTAGATATTGTTTCTCGAATCGAGACCTGTAAAAAGAATAATAATTTTTTTTATTATCGAAATCATTTAATAAATTTTAATTTTTTTTATTTTAATGTGGAGTTTAAGAATATTCTTATTCATTTTGTATTGACGTTATATATATTTTCTTTTTTATTGTTATCTTTCTAACAAAAATTTAAGGATATTTACTTATATAAAAAATGTCATCCTCTAATATCTTTCATGATCGTCTTAGAAACGATAAATTCGTCTCATCATCCTTTGTTATTATATATTAATTTAGGCTTTTCAAAAAAAAACTTTAAAAATTCATGAAGTTACACAAAAAAAATCAATTTTGAGGGTTTAAAAACTCTCATATTTGAATGATTTAAGATGTTCTTTCAAATTTTAGAGAGTAAGAGACATTCTTTCAATAAGATGGACAACATACATAAACATAAAGCTCACTGAATATGATCAATATCTAGATTTATTTTTATCATTTTGAGTGAGTTTCATAAAAAAATCAATACGACGAGAAGAAAGAGGATTGAAATATGAATGTTTTGTTTTTAATTTTTAGTTTTATCGTGAATGATGATAGACTTCAATTAACGAAGGAAGACAACTAAAATTGCCATTTTTGGGAATAAAAAACAAACTAAAATGGTCATTTATCACAACGTTAATGATCTAACGGTTTAGTGACCATAAAAAATCAATTCAAAAAATTTAGTGATAGAATTAGAATTTTCTATAGTTCAAAGACTAGAAATGATATAGTTTAAAGCTCAATGATTAATGATGTCGTTTAACTTGATATTTATTTACATAAAATATAAAAGAAAAAATTAAGTTATTATAAAATGAGAGGGGAGACAAAAAAAAATAGAAGGTAAATTATACAAATAGTTCCCTTTGTTTCTACTTTGATCGAAGTTGATCACCGGTTCAAAAATTAAATGTTTTGGTCTTTACGTTATCATTCTATTCAGTTTAAGTCACTTACCCATTAATTTCCTTTAACCCGTTAACAAAAATGTTACATGACAATTCAAAGGAGTGCGAATGATGGTGAGATCATTTTCCAAGCTTATGTTATTTTTTAAAATATTTTAATTTCACATAATATTTCTTTTAAAAGATTAAAATTGAACGGATGAATAATTTAAGAGATTAAACACACTTAATTTTTAAACTAATGATCAAATTCGGTCAGATAAAAAATAAAAGGACGATTTGTATAGTTTACCTAAAATAGAAACATAAGAAAATCGATGAAACACGGTAATCTGAAGGATTCTTTGATTTCAAACCCAAATCCATGAAAGATTTCTGGAAGAGAAAATCAGATGAAAATATGTTGAAATATGCATCAAAAAGTTCCATAATGACAGAATAGGAAATGAAGATGTATCGTGAAGGAAGCTCGAGTTCGAAGGAAGATAGCAAAACCGTCTGTTGTTTTCTTTATCTGCGGAAATATTCTTCCACTTCCTCGAGCTCCAAACAGGTCAGAGCAACAAAAATTGTCTTTTCCTTTCTGGAATCTTATAGCTCCTTTGTTTCCTGTTGTATTCAATTTCCTCGTAAAATTCAAGCTTATTGTCGAAAGCTGGCATTGATCTCTTAAATTCTTAAAATGTGTTGATCCGCATAATAGAAATTTTCTTTCCGAGGTTAGCTTCTATTTGTTGAATAAATAGGAGATTTTCATTTAGTGAGTTGAGCTTGTTTGCATGGATTTTTGCTCAAATTGCTTTCTGAAGAATATAAAGGAGGTATTTTTTGTTTCTTTGGGTGTTGATTTGAATTTTATTGATTGAATTTTGGAAGGACAAGTTAAAATCTATGAGCTTTGTGAGAGCTTCGTTCTTGGGTTGCAAAGATGCATTTTATAACGGTGTACATGGCCATGGGTCGTTCCGTAGTTAGTGGAACTTCTTTAGTAGGGTTTTGGAAAGTGGGTTTATGGAAATGGTGCAAAGAGACCCTAATTTAGTTGGAATTCTTGGGGTTAAAAGAAGTGTATGTGTTTGCAATTTTTGGTGAAATAATTAGGTAATGGACTTTTAGCAGTAAACAATGCAACTGCCTAATCAGCATCCACGGATCAATCTCATTGAGTTGAAAGCTCAGTTAATAAAGACACTTGGGTCCGAGAGATCACAACAGTACTTCCATTTTTTGAATAAATTGTTGAGCTTAAAGCTAAGCTAGGTTGAGTTCACTAAGGTTTGTTTTCGTGTTCTTAGGGGAGAGAGAGTTAAACTACACAATCTCTTAATTTGTTCAATATTGAAAAATGTTTGTAATGCCAAAGTCCCTCCTCCACCTACGACTATTCATGAGAGTCTGCAAACTGAGGAAGTTCTATTGTCATCTCGGAAAGCCAGATCTGGAGCACCCATTAGGCTTACTGCCAAGACAGCTTCTGCTTCTTATGAATCAACAATTACTAATGATGTTGTATCTGAAAATCAGGGTAAACTTCTCGTGATATACAGAAGCCTCTTCACCGTCCTCAAGAATTTTCAGGCAAAGCAAATAATGTAAGGGATGTTCTGCTTCCCAACCCTGAGATAAAGGGATCATTCAATGGTTTTCCTTCTGAAGATGGCATGCAGAGATCAAAGTGAAGTTTTGTTTGTTGAATATGGAAAGGAGTCTTGTTGTAGAAGTTTAGTGCAAGCGCCACTCGGAGTTCCATTATTCTCTAGGAGTCTCTCTGGGAACTAAAGGTCTTTTCGTGTGGCAAGTAGTACTATATATGCCAAGTCCTATGACATCGGTGGATTGCTCGACACAGTGGCACTGAGGGAACTCATGAAACAAATTGCCACGCAGGAGGGTCTTGAAGGTGTGTCAATGGACTGTGCCGCTATATTGAATAATGGACTGGATGTCTACTTGAAGAGGTTAATAAAGATGACCATCGAGCTAGCAGAAAACAGGCATTGATGCAGTTTGAGAAAAAACAATACAATGAAGCATCATTCCCGCGGGAATCTTGTTAACAGTGTCTCAATGAGTTACCATAATCAGATTCATGCTAACAGTTGGTATTTGGAAGCTATAGATGAACATAGATACTACAAACTGGTTTCTTTGCTGGGTTTCAAGGTTGCGATGGAATTGAACCCTCAGAAGCTTGGAGAGGATTGGCCAGTACTGCTTGAGAAGATATAAATGCAGTCATCTGATGAGTAACAATCTGGGACTTGTGAGTCTGTCAGAATAATTTATTTGGTAACATAATCCAAAGACGAAAGGTTCTTCCCCAAAAGCAGAAATAAGTTTTCTTGGGTATCAATTTTTTTGATAAGATTTGAAGGCCTCATTAAAAACCTCCTTCTTGATTAATGGAGCTTGTATAGAAGCTTCTTAATCATCGGAAGGAGGAAAAGAGTGCCTTATAATTTCTTGGGTATCAATGATGCACATTGCATTCTCTTGTCTGGACCTTAATAACAAAACATGCTTACTTGACCATTCTTGCTATTTTTATCCTTAGCTCTGAAACTTTTCGATAAACTACCGTCATTTTTAATCGCTTTGATTTGGAATTCTGACGTATATTCTACTGTAGAACCTCATATTTTCTGTATTTTCTTTGATGTGTTTCATTTTGCATCATAATCATAGCCGTACTATTTAAGTTCTTAGACTAGTTGACTGAAAAATAGAAATCTCCATCAGTTGGTTTCCCTTGTTCAGCTTAAGATAAAATGTTCCCGACAAATATTTACTCTTTAGAATATTTCTGTTTATCTGCTGCGTATAAATGTTCTATCACAAGAGCATACATAGATTAAAAGAAGAAAAAGCAGAAAGTTGTGGGACCAAAGGTTCAATGGACAAAAGACATGTGAAATAAAGTTCTTTATGCTAGTATGGGAACCATATATCTTCTCGTATTAGCCTGCCTTAAATTGTTTGTGATGATTTTATTGGTCGTGGTAATTTGATCTGATCACAATTTTATTGAGTCAGGTAACTGCATTCATTTTGTAGTGGTAGTTAGGTTTTATCAAATTTCGTTAATCTCTTAATTCGCTTGTAAAGATATTTTATCATTTTCAGTTGCCAGAAGTTCAAGGATATCGCTCTTGCTCCTTCCTAGAGGAATTTTAACTGTTAGTTTCTTTATACTCGGTCTTCGAGTTTGTCACGCAACTCATTATATATGTATGCATGTATCTATGAAAAATCATTTCGTCACTTGAAAGCAGTGACGGAGCTATATACCTAATTAGATCCTTCAATTTCTTATTATTATTTCACATTTTCTATTGTAAATTACATTGCCCTCCCAATTTGATATCTTGGCTTTCTGCCTGTTGAAAGCATTCTTGTAAACTCCAGCAGAACAGAGGAGTGATACATAGTACCAACAGCTGGTACAATGTAGGCGGTCAGAGTTTAACATTGGGCTGGTTTATCTACAGTAAATCTTCATTTAATATTAAATGTTCAAATTCGATATTTGTGTTGTTGCACTCGTCTACTAAGATGGATATAATGGCATAATACGTATGATGCATATCAGGAATCTACCCATATTTAACATTGTCTCAAATTAGGTAATATAAGTTGGACAAGTAAGACACGAATATCCGAGTTGAAGGCGAGGCCGAGTAGGAACACATTATTATGATTATTTAGGAAAAAGGAAGGGCGTTCAGTTAGGCATGATTTGGCGAGAAGGACGATGAAGAGGTGTGGTTAGAAGAAGACCAAACGAGGACTCTCCAGAATGGACGACGATGCTTGCGCTTGGGAATGTCGTTAGCAGCCATCAGCTCCGATTCCGATCTTCGCAGCATTTCCCACATCACCTGCACATCTTCGTACCCACAAGTTTGTACATCATCGTTAAGCTTCAACAGCCCTACCCCTGCATCATCATTCCCCATTCATTATTCACACTCTTGTCCAGTCAATGATTCAAAATAAAATATTTTTTTCATCCCATCTCAGCTCAACTTTCGGAAAAAAAAGATTAGATGCATGATTACTTTACTAAAATATCCTCCCTTAATTATTTGATTTAACATGCCCCATGCGGCGCCACTTTATTTGTCATTCAAGGAAGGATTATTATTATTATCTTCAACCTAATCTTTCTCGTTAAGTAACTTCAAAATCAAGATTTTGATATTGATATGTGGTTAATAACTATTAGATTGATATGCTCATTTGCTTATTAATAATAAGTATTATATGGTCCACTAATAATATATATATATATATATATATATATATATATATATATATCAACAATACGTTGTCATCGCGTTTGTGAATAGAACAAATTATGTAAAGATGATAGTTCTCGTTTTTATAGTGATCTGAATTAATCTATGAATAGATAGGAGTAAGAAGGTTATACTATAAAAAACATTAAATAATTATTTTTATTTATTGATTATGTATGCATATAATTAAACTGCTAATATTGTTCATCTTTGCAAATCTACGTCTCATACATAAATGGAGTATAATTATTGTTGACACATGTCTCTTATACCTAATGAGTATCTTCAATAATTAGTTAGTTTTTAGAAATGACACAATCGTAAATGATGAAGAAGGAAAAGGAAATATTTAGAACTAAACACATAAATTCGATAAAGAAAATAATCAAAGAATCATCTCGTGATATCTACTAATTTTATGAAATAATTAGTTAGTTGAATTTATGTGAACAATAAGGAAAAGAAGCCGCTTCATGTCAACGCAAAAATGAAAAAAAAATGTTTTTTCTCCCTTTGTTCAATTTAAAATTATGCTTTTTTTTCTATCGCTTCTCTCCCCCCCCCCAAAAGATGAAAGGTATTCATTCAATTTCGATATTTAAAAAATATTTAAATTGAATTGTTAAAATTAACATGTTTCATTTTTTGTCGGTGCAAGATCTTTAGCATGGAAGAACTAACACCTGCGACTCGAGAGTAAAAAAGAAACAATAATTTATAGCAAAACAAATTTAACAATCTTTCAGGAAAAAAACAGAGTTAAACTATTTTGTTAGTTAGTAAAAAAAATTTTATAAAAAAAATCAATAATTACAGGAAGAAGAAGAAGAAGAAAAGAGAAACTCCAAAGCAAGAATAAAAAAGGTCTCTGGGAAACTATGAACATTAACTGAGAAAGAGAAGGAAGTGAAGGGAAAGGAAGAAACGCACCGTTTTTGCGAGCTTTAACACGTGAAGAAACAGCAAACCAAAGTCTTCGAACAGGGCTGACCACCTTATGCCACCAATCCATAGAATTTTTCTAGTTTCCTTAAATTTAATCTTGTTCGATCTTTTCTACTCCTCCCTCAGATATTCTTCTGTGACTCCGGCCACCGCCAGAACTGCCGAGATCTCCTCCCTCTGTCTGATCTAAATCATTGAAAATGAACAAATAAAGAGATAAGCGCCTATATATGCTTTGCACAGATGAAGAGGAAGGCAGCTTGGTTTTTGGCTTAATTAACTTTGGTAGTACAAGTGGTTGTAGTAGTCGGCTGTAACTTCCTCCACCATAACCATGATTAATATTACAAACTTAATTTAAATAGCATATTATACGAACTTCGGGCTTTTCGTTTCTGCTTTCGCGAATATAGAAAACACAATGGCCACCGACACGTGACTAGTACATTTAACTGATCAGAGATGGTTATCTATTTATTCTTTCATTTTGAAAGAATATTGGATTTTTTTTATGAGAATATTACAAGAATACCACTTTTTCCCCTCCAATACAGTAAGAAAATTTGGTGTTTTAATATTGTATTGGTTCGGAAATGTCAGTGTCGGCAAGGGGCCGGCCACGTAGCTAATAGGGAACCGTATATAGCAATCCAACGTGTATGACATGTAAAATCAAGTGATTTGTTATTTTTTAATCTCCAGTTAAAATACTTAAAATATCAAAGATGTGAATTTTATTACATATTCACTATTTTATACTTATCCTAACTAATAAAAAAATATGTATGACCTGACTTTTACAAAGTTTCTACCTAAGTATGACATATAAATCCATACATAATGGACATGATACTTTTGTAATTCTATGTTTTTTTTTTATTCCCAGAAAAACAAATTTTGATAATTTTTTTAGAAAGTTCAGTCTAATAGATATCATCACATCAATAAATTTAATGGTAGTGTGATTAATGTCATATGTAATTAAAGGAGCTTAATTAATAATATAATTTTTAATAAAAATTCAAAAGATCTATTATTCAAAGTGAAAATTCATTTTATTTTTTTTATACAATTAGAAAGCTAGAAAGAAATTTTAACTCTAAAACATTGATGGTAGGTAAGCACTAAGCACCAAGTTGAATTTTTTAGAAGAATTCTATAGCTATTTTATATTTGTATTTTTTTTATTTCACATCTTATTATATAATTCTTTTAATATAATGAAAGAAGAGTTTTTATCTTTAACAACGAATATTTGGGTTGGACGACGAATTTGTGACATTTGAAAGTTGTTATTTCTTTGACAGACTTTGTATATGTAACATAAATGTTTATAATATTTTAAATAAATAATCGAATTACTTGATTTAGTAATTAATATATGTATAAATAGTTGGCATGCACACATCATAAAAACTGGGTTTTTTTTTTACATTCTCGAGCATTTTCTCTTTTAATTTTAATTCAGCATAATATATTACAGACATAAAAAGTGAAGATTGGGAAAAAAAATTGGCACTATAAACTATGTTGTGGAATTTTAGGTTAAAATCTCATCAACACTCCATTATTATAACCTTTGACCTAATTATCATAATCTTTTCCCGTTTTTATTAAGGACAACTTTTGCATAGAAGTTGATTCATAACCATTGATTGAAAAATAAACATTTCGATAAAAGCTATGTGCGGGTTTCGTCAACCTCAACTTGGTAATGTAAAGTAATTAGTCAAAAATAAAAATTGGTGGTGTGCTAAGTCACATTAGGGGGAAAAAACTTTATATAGTGTGGAAGGCTCTTCACACCTAATACAACCCTAACCAATTAACACGCCCATTTTCCTTTGTCGTTTTTGTGCCTAAAACACATCGCACTCCACATTTTGGAGTTTTATTAGTGATATCAACACCTTTCCCCCGTATACACTTGTATAAATATGCATATAATAGTATTACGAAAAGATAAACTAGCAAAATTAGCATACT